TAATAACCAAACATGCTAAAAGCTCCAAAACCATCTTCAAAGAGGTTACATTCCTGTGACTATGATTATTAATATTATGAAGAAATTTAAGATCCACGGGACTGTAGCCAACCTTTCTGGACATGGCTGCAAGGGGAAAATTATCCCTAGAACAAATAGAAGGTTAATTGAAATAGTGGAGAAAGAAAGGAGAAGAACTAATTAACTTTCAAGGTATAACAACATCCAATTGTACTACATATCACTGTTGATCTATTTCTAGGTGAAAGACCTAAGATGACCCCATTTTTGAAAAACAGATACAAAAACTCCAGATTAGAGTTTGTTAATTTAAATGTTGACAAGCCACAGTCCTTCCCAGCCAGCTTCCAATAGGCAAAGCCAGTGGAGGAAGCTGGATTTGCCAAATAACTGTGTGATTTATTTAATTGCAGTAATTCGCTTAACAACTATGGCAAAGATTCATTTAATAACATCTACCTTCCTTGGGAACAGAAATTCTGCTTCCAATTGTGGTTGTAAGTTGAGGACTACCTGTGCTTGAGTGAAGAAATCTATCCAACCTAAAACAACTAGAGCAATTTGCTCAAGAAGAAAGAGACAAACTGCCAGTTGAGAAGTGTAGTCTTATTCAGAGTTATAGGAAGTACTTGACTACAGTTATTGCTCAAAAGGGTGTTTCCATGTCATTTTCATTTATTATTTAGAAGAAGAATATGTTAAATCATACATTATAAGCAAGGTGCTGCTCTTTGGACTATAGAATAAAGAATGGTAGGTGCCATTTATTTTTATCAATTTCAAGTTATTTCACAGAAAATTGGGATTCTTTGGAAAGGGGATACCAATAGTTTTGCCCACATTTGTGGCCTCCTGCAATGAAGGAAAAAGTGCCTGATGTTGTACCTTGTTCATCACCCTAATTGATGAAAGCCTGAAGTGATTTTCATCGACCCTACCTGCACTGTTAACCATGGAATATTGCTACACAAGTTAAATAGTATCACTGGAGATAATAAGCTTACCAGGGTCATTGGCAGCTTCTGCCAGAACCAGAACTTTCATGTGACTCTGAATGTTAAGAACAGTAACAGAGTTGGAAGGGACTTCGGAGGACACCTAGTCCAACCCCAGTAGATGGATGATGGAAAAGAATGGGCTGCCACAAGGAAATGTATTATCTCCAACATTGTATAACATACTTACAAATAATCAACCAGACCTTGATATCACTCATCTATTCATCTATACAAATAATACAGCAGGGGCTACACAAGAATCAACTTTTGAGGTAGCTGGGAAACTTACGGTAACACTTAAAGAATTAGATCATTATTATACCATAAATCATTTAAAGCCCGACCCAAACCAGACCCAAATGTATTCTTTTCACCTCTGAAACTGAGGTTCAAGGGAAGAGTTCGATGTTACATTATAAGACTGGCCAACACTGAAGTATTTCTTAAGTAGCACTAAGGCTAAAGTCAGCTTGAGGAACAATATCATCAGAAAATTTATAAACTATACATGAGGGGAGTTCAACCATCTATGTTGCACACATTAACTTTGGCGTTGAGCATCTCTGCCGCAAAGTATGCTGCTCCAGTGTGGAGTGTATCTACACTTGTGAAACAAGTTGATATCGCTGTCAGTGAAGCAATACATTTAGTGACATGTTGTCTCAAACCTACTCTAGTGGAGAAAATATATCCTCTCTCTGGCATTGCCCCACCTAAAATCAAGAGAGAAGTAGCAGCGGATGCCAAGAGTACTAAGCAAGAGGATGATCCTTGACATTCTCTGAACAGACATATGCCCCAAGCCCGCTGACTCAGATCTAGGAACAGCTTTATGGCAAGAAGAAATATTCTTGAAGGTTACACAAGAACAAAATTGAATTAAAAGATGGAGGAAAGATACTAGTGAGAAAGGAATAATATTAAAGGAGGATATGGCTGAAGGATCTTACTTCCCTGATATCACTTGGAGGACCCTGAATAGGTTGAGAGTTGGAGTACCTAAGTGTAAAAACCAATATACTCAAATGGAGGCTCTTAGCAGATAACAACACGCTGTGTTAATGTGGAGACACAGAGTCTGACCTATCTGCTGGTATGTTGTCTACTACCAGAAACGTGTACCGATAATAACTTACTTTTGGACAAGCTAAGCAGGTGGCTTCATTCTGACAGTTTAAAGTTTGATCTAGACATGGAAAAAGAAGAACCCTAGTTAATGGTTTCATCAAACTTCACTTTAAATTTTCTCACTGCACAAAAATGCAGTAGAAATGCATCTGGTCCTGGAGATTTATTCAATTTTAATTAAAGCATTGCTTCCTTTGTTTCATTTTCTGTAATACTGTAGCCTTGTTAAATTATTCCTTTTGCTGATGTGTACATTTCATAATCAGCATCTGAGTACTCTGTAATCGCTTTGAAACTTCATGTTGGTTTTTCATATATTTGAAAATTAAATTTAATAAAATTCTGTATCATCTCATCAATAATTCAAACAATTGCTACTATCCTATAGTGAAGTGATAGATCTTTTTCTCATTGGGTAAAACAACAGGTTTTTTTATATCTTTCTTGAAAGTCACCTTTTTATAACTTACTTGATTCTAAAAGTAAAGGTTCCCCTCGCACATACGTGCTAGTCGTTTCTGGCTCTAGCGGGCGGTGCTCATCTCGGTTACAAAGCCGAAGAGCCAGCGCTGTCCAAAGGCATATAGAACACTGCTACCTTCCTACCAAAATGGTTCCTATTTTTCTACTTACATTTTTACATGTTTTTGATCTGCTAGGTTGGCAGAAGCTGGGACAAGTAACAGGAGTTCACTCTGTTATGCAGTGCTAGGGATTCGAATCGCTGAACTGCCGACCTTTCTGATCAACAAGCTCAGTGTCTTAGCCACTTCTAGTGGTGTGTAAATCATTTTAATCTTGTGTATAATATCAAGCATTGGTTTCTGTTTTGAATTGATTTTGATAGTTTTGAATCATTTTTCTGACTATCCATCCATTTCCACAAAACAAATATAAGAGAAATATATCATAAAGCAAAAAATAAAAGAGGCCAGTAAAATAAAAAATAAAAGATGGTGACATTTTTAACTGACTAGAATGCTCTCTGAAGTTTTCTTTTATTTAATGCCAAAGAAATAAATAATCCTCTTAGAAATGCTTTACTGGATTCCCATACTGTGAATAAAGAAACATCAACAGGAAGATGCTCTTTAATTCAGGTTGACACTTTAATTTGATAGCTTCTTGTAATAATAATAGGCCATTCAATTCTACTTTTTCAAGCCAGTGTTTCTTTGGTGAAATATTACATTTGGAATTAAGTATTGCAACTTCTTTATATTTAAGTAATAGCAAATTAAATATCCAGTGCATATCTATTCTTGAATTAATGTTAAGAGAAGGGGCACAATATGTATATTTTTCTCTAAAGGGTATTTATGTCTTTAAACATCTAAGGAAGAAAATAATGACATATAATCTATGATATTTTTGGCAATTTGCAGAACTCTTTTGGTGTGAACCAAACATTTGCACAAAGAATCCAGTTAATATTTCCAGGAATAAAAAAATATCTTGCAATTTCAAGAAGAAATTGGAAAAAAAACCACAAGTTATTCTCTAGTTATCTTTTAAAGTATAAATTGAAGTAATTGTAATTTTCCATTGTTCAACCGTAGTAATAAAAATATTTCTATTTCATCTGGAATTTTATGTTTCATGATAAATTTAATACTCTGTTGTTTCCACCAGAAACAACATGATTTTGACCTAATGTTTACGTTCTAACACATTAATATATTTTAAACATTGTATTTCATAAATACCTATACTGTCTGGATTCTCATTTTTTTCTTTTCCTCTCCTTTTGAATGTGGTATTCAGTCTCTTCATCTTGTTGATTTTTTTAAAAATTTAATCCATGAAGTCAGTGATTAATTAAATGTAAGGGTAGAAAAATATCTGAACCAATTTCTTTCTGTTTCCATTTTTTCTTGTTTTCTTGTAGTTCATGACTCAAGCGTTTTCTTAGCATCTTCTGTGGAGAGTATAAAAGCTTTGCCATTCATAAGACCCTCAAATGAAATGGAGTAATCCACCTGCATTTAATATTTCTTTCTTGGAGACAGGTTGCCATTATAAAGATTATTCTGTTTACTTGAATTTATAACTTTTACTCTGAAATGTCTTACCATTCTACATAGAATAGAATGCAAAATTATCTACTACAATTTTTAATAAAGATTTCAAAGACTAAAACATTAAAACTTTCAAAGGCAGTATACTTTAGATATTTAGAGGAGGACGTGGTAGTGAGATAGAGTTAAATATCAAGGTATGATTTTTCATTCTTTCCAAAAGATACAAAAACAGACAACCATTTTAATGGCCGATTTTAAAATGCTGTTGTCAGGATACTTTTGTCTTTCCCACATGTTTTACTATGGTGCACTGGTTTTCTTAAGGTTAAAAAACATATGCTTTGGACACAGTTTTAATAATCTCTGAAATAAATCTATTGCAAGATCATTTTGAGGCTACAAATACTCCAGATGTTATTATGTGTACCTTTAAAAAAAAAAGTCTTGGGGTGTGTCAGTGCCTTTATGCTATACTAGTGTGCTAAGAGATTGAATAGGAAAAATGGGGGAGGAGACACTGTACTCAGCTGCCATGCTGTTATCAGAGGGATTGTTTCTGGACAGAGGTTCAGCATTCATTGGTTGTCTGAAGAAAGGCATTTCATCTGAGGATTGGATAAGAAGCTGCGTCAATTTGCTGCCCGTCTCCAAGGCACTGGTGATGCTGCCTTCACAAGCTGACTAACGTCACAGCTCCATCACCCAGCGGGGTGTGGGCTTGCTTGTCGCCCCCCCCTCCTGTTCTCTGTTTAATTCTGTATTTGCTTCCTGCTGCATTTCTTCATCTGTCTTCTGCCAAATGCTAACAGCATGATATTTTGCAATCATTTAGGTGAATACAAGAAGGACGAACTCTTGGAAGCTGCTAGGTAAGTGCTGTTCAGAATACAAATGTATTGTTTTTGAAGAGAGGTAGTAGAAATCAGGGTGAAAATGGGTTTTATGATCTGTCATGTTGTCATTATCTTTTTATAAAATTGGGCAGATAAGCAGTCCTTGTTAACATGAGTCTTTTGTATTTAACTACTTGCAAAAATCTAAACAGTTGCTTGTAATTCTACAGTATAGTTACAGTTGAATTTCGACAAGATGCATTTCAAATTCTATTACGTTTAAAAAGCAATTTTTAAGGAGAAATGTGTTAGGACATTTTTTTATTCTCTACCTTATGAATTAAAGGCACATCCTTCATTTACATATGTTATAGAAAAGCTTAGCGAAAGGCTGGAAGCTATTTATAGTAGCTTGAGGAATATTGCAACAATTTGGGAAATGTATATTATATTTAAAATACAGTAAATTATTCTATTATATATGTTTATATATAATATAATTTTAAAGGAAATAATTGAAGCAAATTTTTGCTAAGTCAAAATGCACAAAGTGAATTGTGAACAGATGTTAATGTGAAACTCCATTTCATATATTCTATAAGAGACTTCCTCTCCCTTCCATTTCTTCTTTGCAGGAGTGGCAATGAAGAAAAACTAATGGCTTTGTTAACACCTTTAAATGTGAATTGTCATGCAAGTGATGGGCGAAAAGTAAGTTTCTGTAAATATAATTGTTATAATTTTTTTGGCAGCTGGTCAGTATAACGTATCAATTTAAAAATTTGATAACCAACCAGTTTTGTGGATTGTAATTTGGGTCTCATCACATAAGATTGAATGATGTGTACAATATTGACAGCTTGACAGAGATAGTGAAACATAAAGTAGTTGACTGATTGCATTTTAAATGACAGTCTAGCATTGTGCTGCAGAATGCTTGTTAATAAATATCAATTGTGAGTTTGGGTTTTCTTAATAACTGTAAATGAACAATTTTCTCTGTGTGAGTGTTCAGGCTGTGAAAAACAGGGTTTCAGTACTCTAGCTTGTTGTAGCCAATTTCAGATCAATTTCATTAATCTTGTTGGATATTCATTCCAAATTTTTATAGTCTCACTTAATTGTCTAACTGCAGCTTTACATAATGGGGAATTAAAATATATTAATCAGTACGAAGTAAGAAAAGGAAGAATTTATACATTCAGAATTCTAATTAAATGTTTCATTAATTTATGTATTATTATAATCTGAGGTAATAGATTCTAATCTCGGTTTACCTGAGTTCACACAGCATGGTTGTTTTGTCTGTTGGTGCTTCTTAGGTCTCATCAATTCTTAATAACTGTCTGAAATGGGTAATCAGGTACCTCAGCTTCCGTGACTGAAATCTCCCCAGGTAATTTGGAGAGAGGACATGAGAGATATAATTTGGGACAGATTGTGGCTCATACTCTGCCAGCAGACTGTTTGGGGTTTATTCAGTGCAGTGAAGATTTAAAAGAATATTTTGGATGCAATTCGCAGCCTAAACACATTTTTCTATAATTCAATATGTATAGCTCTTACCTTATACTCATCTATGTTAAGTATGATTGGTTTAATTGTAATTGACACTTAGCCAGTTTTAAACTTGGTATTTCTTCTTCCTGTAAAATAACTGACTGGTTGTCTTAATTTTATTTTTGCATTAGATCAACCATCGGTTAATTAATTCTCAAATCGTGAGTTTTGAAACTGTGTGATTCAACTCCTGGGCATTTCAGTTTTGTCACCAGGCAAAGCTGGGCTCTGTTACACCATATTTTTGCTTTGCCTTGACAAACCGATTGTCCACTTTGTTATCTGGCCCATCATTTTTTTGTTGTTGTCACAGTGATTGCCCCTGTAAAAGGTGGTCCCCACACTTCTTAGTTTCTCAAGCCTGCCACTGCCCATTTTGCTCACCTACTCTGTCTACCACCCCCATTTTTTATTCTTCCTCCAGCAGAGTAGCAGCTAAGGGCCCAGAGTTTTGACAGCAGTCAGAGCAGCAGAAATAGAAAGGAGGTGAGCAAGAGTTCAGCTTTTTCATACTTGATTATGCAGTGTCAATTGCTTACAAGACCAGTTGCTATTGTAGATTGCTGATATCTGGAGGCCCTGGACTTTTGCTTATATTAATAATTGCTCAATGAGATCCAGAGCAGCACTTAATCAAGGACAGTATTAATCGTTCAGTAATCTATAACTAATACAGTTGAATGTTCTGAAATGCACAGTATTTAAATGAGGAAAGTTTTTAGGTGTTAAGACTGTTTAAAAAGTGAAGCTGTAGCAGAATATAAATAGATCTAAAATTTCTGCAAGAGAACAGAAATAGGTTAAAAATTAATTAATGGACTTAATAGAGTAATTAAAAGATTCAATTAATGGGTTAAACAGTTATTGTTAAGAACTTTTAACAATGTATAAGTACATCACTGGACCAGTAAGGTGAGTTGCCATGTCCCATAATGGCAGTTCTAATGTTTGATATGTTAGCTAATGATTAGCGATTTGACTTTTTAAAATTATTATTATGAGGGCAACAATTGGATTTTATTTCTTAGATTATTAAAATTAAAGCTGAATTGGGTCTTTCTGTTGCTTAAAACCATGTTGTCCATGCAGGCTTCAGATTTGCTCATTTGATTCCATCTGCATAATATTTGACCTATGTTTTGTCAAGGAGAACTCTTTTGCTATATACATGAGCATTCATTTGTAATTAAATGTTTGTAATTAAATACATTTGTAATTAAATGCATTTGTAATGGACACTCATGCATAGTCTACTCATTTTATTATAAGAGTGATGTAGCATTTATTGAAGAAATATACATTTAAGGGAATTGGTCTAAACACATTTGCTGCAGTGATGTCCAGAGTACATGAAAATGTTGTATGGTTTATAGTTTGTTGGCCGAAGGAAACAGAATGCAATCCACCATTTTTAGTAAAAGACCACCTGTTTGTAAGTGTGGGTTGTCCATAAGTTCCATAAGTTGGACTTTCTTAACCTGAGAACTACCTGTAATCACTGGGGTTCAACATAGAATATCTCTCAGATCTTCTAATAGACATGCAAAAAGCAAAGGTTTTTCTTACTTTCAGATTAAAGATACCTTTTAAAAGACTATACCGGAAATGTGGCTGCTAATAATAAAATAATAAATGTAGATAATGATTCAGATAACAGATAATCAGAGTTGGAAGGGACCTTGTAGGTCATCTAGTCCAACCCCCCGCCCAAGCGGGAGACCCTACACATTTCTGACAAATGGCAGTCCAATCTCTTCTTGAAAGTCTCAAGTTATGGGGCTCCCACAACTTCTGAGGGCAAGCTGTTCCATTGGTTGATTGTTCTCACTGTCAGAAAGTTTCTCCTTATTTCCAGGTTAAATCTCTCTTTGTTCAGTTTCCATCCATTATTCCTTGTCTGGCCTATAGGCGCTTTAGAAAATAGCTTGACCCCTTCCTCCCTGTGGCAGCCCCTCAAATATTGGAAGACCGCTATCATGTCTTCCCTGGTCCTTCTCTTTACTAGACTAGCCAAGCCCCATTCCTGCAACCGTTCATTGTATGTTTTAGCCTCCAGTTCCCTAATCATCCTCGTTGCTCTTCTCTGTACTTTTTCTATAGTCTTAACATCTTTTTTTATAATGTGGTGACCAAAACTGGATGCAGTACTCTAGGTGTGGTCTTACTAAGGCTTTATAGAGTGGTATTAGTACTTCCCTTGATCTTGATTGTATCCCTCTGTTAATACAATTTAGGATTGCATTAGCTTTTTTGGCGGCTGCTGCACACTGCTGGCTCATATTTAGCTGGTTGTCCACTAAGACTCCAAGATCCCTCTCATAGTTACTGCTATTGAGCCTGGTTTCACCCAGTCTGTATGTGTACTTTTGGTTTTTCTTGCCTAAGTGTAGGACTCTACTTTTCTCTACATTGAATTTCATTTTGTTAAATATGGCCCAGTGGTCTAGTCTGTCAAGATCCATCTGGATCTTGAGCCTATCTTCTTGGGTGTTAGCTATTCCTGTCAGCTTAATATCATCTGCAAATTTGGTAAGTTCCCCTTCTATTCCCTCATCTAAGTCATTAATGAAGTTATTGAAGAGTACTGGGCCTAAGACCCCACTGCTTACTTCCCTCCATGTAGACTTAGACCCATTCAAGGACTACTCACTCGTTGAGTACGGTTTGCCAGCCTGTTGCGAGTCCCTCTAGTGGTGGTGCTATCTATTCCACTTTTTTCTAGCTTACTAAGAAGTAGGTTTTGGTCTACTTTGTCGAATGCCTTGCTGAAATCTAAATATATTATGTCCACAGTATTTTGCTGGTCTACTAATTTAGTCACTGTGTTGAAGAATGAAATAAGTTTGGCATGATCTGTTTTTAACAAACCCGTGCTGACTGCTAGTTATTACTTTACTTATTTCTAGATGTTGGCAGATCTGGTTTTTTTTATTATCTTTCAGTTAACAAAACATGTGATACCCAAGGTGTTAATTTTTGGGCACCACAATAAAGAAAAAATGAAATAAACTTTCAAATTGTAACCAAACCAAATAGATTAAAATACTGCATTGAAATAAAATTCCCACCCAGTAAAGGGCCTTCCTTCCTCGCCCCTCTCCCTAAGTCCCTACATTTTGGGGGAAAGATTTCAGAAGTCATCTGCCATTGCCTGCTTCCTAAGGCTGAGAGATGAGAACTGTCCCAAGGTCACCCTTTGTGCCTAAAACAAAACTTGAACTCAGAGTCTCTTAATTTCCAGCTTGGTATTTTAAACACTACACCAGATTGGCTCTCCAACCAAGTAAAGCAATTACTTCTTTTTAAAAAAAGCAAACCATGGAGAGCCTAGCTATCTCAAGAAATCTTTCTGGTTGACATAAAGCCAAATTGTTTGATCCACAATGGAACTACGGCTAATATTTTAAAAACAATTTCACTCCATTCAAGTTTTTAAATTATTTTTAGTTCTTACCCAAGAATGTCTTTTCTTCACTGATAAACCAATTAATCATTCCAAATTTTATTTTCATTTTTCATCTATATTATAAAAGATGATAACTCGAGAGTTGGCACCTTTTGCTAATTTACTTGTTATTTATTTCAAATAAAATCCTACAAGACAAATCATCAGGATTTGTTACACATATGAGATATTTTTCTTAGACTTTTGGATTGATTTTCATACCTTATCACTTAAATGACAATCATATATAAATGTTTTCTCTCCCTCTCCCCTACAGAATAAATCTGTATTTATAGAAGTCTGGTATAGCAGGTGGCAACAAGCCTAGAGGCCTTCTTGATACCTAGAATTTTGTGCCAGAAGCATTGATTATATGAGTTATATTGGTGTGTTAAAATATTCATAGTCTTATATGTAGTTTCAAGTGATATAATTAAACATGGGTTTGTTATTTGAATCTTTCTTAGCCACTAAACTAGATTCCCCCTCCTACTATTTCCAAGATGTCTTCCAATCCTTAAAGTGTTTATGATGCAAGATGGAGTTTACAGAAAGTAAACTGCAATATCTCTGCATTATTTTGTCTATTTGCTTTATATTTATATATTTATATTTATAAAGGATTTCTCTCATATTAATGCACAGTGCTAGAAATTAGAAAACAAAAGGAGCTTGAAGCACAAATGAATGTACTTTTCATGCTGAA